TCGTGGCATTAATTAAAAATCTCATTAAATTCTTGGCTGTTGTTGTTGTTGTTGATATGATCCTACCTGTAAGCAGATAAACTAATCAACTCAGCTTATTATCACAATGAAATTCAATGGTTTAATGCGAGCGCTTAATAGCGCGTTGATCATAGCCAAGAGTCTAGAAAATAATAAATCGCTCAGGCTTCCGGAACGAATAAAGCAACAATTATAATTATATTTTTGCGTATATTCTTCTGAATGCAAGAAGGTAATAACTGAAATTGTAAGAATTCATGTGACTTAAGAAGCTACCTCTATTTTCTATTCAAACGACTCGTCGGCGCGAAAACACTTGAGTGTCTTTGAGCGAGGAACGTTGAACTTTCAATTATTTTAATGCTTCTCGGAAACTTGCAAAAAAAAATCGCTATCCGGGCCACCCACCCCGCCGACCCTTCACACGCTCGCTCGCACACCTACTAGTAAACATTTATGTATACGTACACAGATGAAGTAAAATAACACAAAAGTAAGCGCTGCACGCTGCGCCAGGAGGAGATGAGCCTCTTCGCGTGACTGAAAAAGTTTTTTCTCCTTTTTTTCTGTAGACTATATAAGCATCGCCACTGCTGTTGTACCGCGAGCTGATGGCCCTATTTTTTGCTGTCTTATATTCTCTTCCTTGTCTTGAGCTTATTTGATATATATAAGACTATTTGAAAAATAAGAAAAATACCCTTTCTATGAAATGGCAAAAATACTCCTCTGTAAAAAATATGAAGTCTACTAGATATGAAAGTCAAGATTTAATGCTATTTTATTCTCATTTTTGCACATTCAATTCTGTGATATAAAAATCCAAACAGAAGAAATTACTCCGAAAAGGAAAGCACTTATTCCAATTCATTCATAAAACGGTAGTCGCGGATTTTCTGTTACTTGTAATGAGTAACCTAATATGACGTAACAGTTCAAAATTGGTGCGTTGTGTGCGTGCGTAAGTATTTACTCTGACGAAGACACTTTTTTACATAAAAACATATCGTGTGTAACGGTCCGGAGGTTTGCACAGTATGCTAAAGGAGTCAAATAGTAAAAATGTTTAAACAACGATATAAAAATTGAAATATTTAGATTTGGTAATGAAAATTATATCATCTACGTGAAAATAGAGGAAAGAGATCCAAAAAGTTCTCGATACGTGTGGAGTTTTGAGGAGAAAATGTTCAATTAGTTTTTCAAGATTTTCTTTATGGTTCTTTTCTTGGATAATTTGTTTGTGACATTTTTCTACGGTTTAGTTTTTGCAGCCACCATCTACTTAATCTTTGCAAAGTTGATAAGAAGCAAAAAAATAAAACCTGCAGAATCGAAAAATATGTGTCAACTATGTGGCCACGTAACGCTAGAACTGCGTAAGAAGCAAGAGAATATAACGCGGTGCAATTGAAGATTGCTAAAATGGATCGATAGATATCTTGTTTCCTCACGTACTTCGCTTTACGCTTCCACTACATACAATCATGTCTCTACTTTTCCTTCTTGCTTCTACTATCATCATCTTCTTGCAGCTTTATATCTATACTATTCTGTACCTTAGCTATAATATTCAACGATGAGGAGAAGCGCAGGGAGAAAAGAGAGAGAGACTCCCTAGATATTACCAAGTCATCCATGGTATTCGAAGGAAAACTCGTGTACATTCGCAGTGACAGTGGGTCATCGAGAGCACACGTAAGTTTGCTATGCCATCTCAAGTCGAGGCGTTGAATGTCGTTTTATGAGCTTCGACTATACGTACAGTTTCAAGACTCGCAAGAAAGATATCATTTTTGAATTTATTTAATATTTTCGTTGCCTGCTTTATATATTTCTCTGGTGGTGCTGCTAACCTAATTTTGCTATCAACTGAATTACGTTAAATAATGCGTTAAACTGACTCACCTTTTAATTGTAAATTCTTTGGAATTTTTTACTGCAGTTTCGTAAAATGTATTTGCGATTCTTTTCGACTGGTGACACGTCGAGATGATTCATGGGACTTGGAAAAAAAAGATTTTGATGAAAATTGAAAGAAGAAATTGGGATAATTTAATTACTTTTTTGAACCGATTTTTTATCCATTTATTTGATAAAGCAAATAACTAATTGTTTATTATAAAAACAATATTTAAATTTAAACTTTTCCCGAACATTTTTTCAAGATTTAACTAATGCAAAAAGATCATCAAAGTTAACAAGCGGATCAAAATAACCATTAGACGAGTGAATTTATGAGTGACAGTGCCAGCTGATATCTTCAGCCCGATTGTTTTGTGCAATTTTTCGTAGTTACGGACTTTCGTTAAAACTATGCTCATACCAAATATTTTTCTAGTCCAAAATGCTTGTACATCAAAGGGCTAAAACTATAATAGTAAAACATACAAAAAAGTGTCTTTTTTCTCCAAGTTTTTGACTTGAAAAATGGAAGACTTGCTTTATTGTTGTGCATGCAAAAAAATAGGCCAACAATCACCCGTACTTGATGTTAATATTTTCCCTCGTTCTCTGTAGAAGGATTTCATTCAATCTCGCAGGTGTTAATGAAATAATTTACTTTCAAATCATTGCTCAATCCAATCCATGTTGAAATCGGTAAATTTTCATCCGCATAATAGTATAATAAAGACTCGGGTTCCTTTAAAGATACTTCAAAAGTTTTCCCAGCCGATATGCATAAGTAAGTTCCGAGGCCTTCAGCGGAATAACGCAGTGTAAAAAACCATTTTATATAGTCACGTGCAGAGATATAGGTTTATGCCCAGAAGCGTGAATCGAGTTTAACGCCTTAGTTAACTGCAGCGTAGTCATTCTTAAGCAAAGTAAACAGAGTAGTGTAACTTGAAGATGCCACGGATAGACTTTGATGACTTGTTGAATTTTTACAAGAGAAAAAAAATCTACCTGGAAAACAAGCATTTGTCAAGAGATTTTAAGCTACTTGACGCTTTAACTAAACTGAAATTTTCACAACTTCTTTAGTCAAAGATTCCAATTGAGTGAAGTACTTAATTTGATTATTCAGCAGTAAATTAACGATACTATAACTTTGAAAGATATAACAAACCCATTGTTTTAATAGGGGTCAAGACTTTATTCCAATAATTAAAATCGAAGTGCAGCACCCATAAATATGATATTTTATGGTTATCTAACTTATTTGATTTATAGGTATTTCTCTCTAATAAGCACTAAATGGTTTTTGACTTGAAAATGGTTTAAAATCAAATACACGAAACATTATTATTAATTTAAAGAGTATCAAACAAACAAGAAGTCGAACTGATTTGATTTTTGAAGGCATTTCAGCTAAGAAGAAAGATTTTTTCTGACCAGTTTGCTTGAACGAGTAACTTTGATCTTTAACAAGCGATGCATAAACTCTTATATCAGTAAAATAGTTTGAAGCGTGCGCAACAAGTTTAAGAGCCTATAAAATAGTGCGTGCTCGCGCATTCATTGCATCACATGTCCTTGCATATACATATGATACATAAAATGCTTCATGAATACTTATCTAATTTTACGCAGCTGCAAACATCTTCTGTCACACAAAAGAACCACGTGGACAAGTAAATTTGCCACTTCTTTGTCTTTGGTCGTAACAGGTCGTAACGTTTGAAAGCTTGACCACTCACTGCCAGGCTCTGTGTGAACTCCGTGAAAGCTGTCTGCGTGACAAATGAAATTTTTTGTTTCGCTGACGCCATCGTCTCGTGTCCTTTAAATGTTCGCATATCTTTTGCACCCAAGCCACATTTTTGCTTGACATATTTATCGCGTTAGGTGTCAAATTTTGATGACAAATGTTTGGCTAAAAAGTTTTTCTAATTATCTTTGATGTTAGGAGCTCGTCAATCTCCATTGTAGCTCAGCACTGAATTCGCACCGGTGATTTCAACCTAACAATTTTCCCTCTCATCTTTCATACTTTATAAATGACAGATTTTTCTTACCTCCAAATTCATTAGCTATCTTCTGTTATTCTGTACAAGTACTTATATTTACACCCCAACATAATATTTTATTGTATAAATAATTTTAATTTCACCCTATACAAGAAAAATACCCTATAAAATTTTTAATTAAAAATTTATTTCTGTGTTTATTACTTTGTTTTCTCATAATACTATTTTTAATTAATTATTATTCAAAATTTCAATGATCTGTTGAAAATTAATATTTTTACTCGCCCTTTAAATTTTTTTTCGATCTCAGCTTCCAAAAAAGTAAATTCAAAAATTTTTAATACATTTTCAACGTAATGTAGGAAATAAAAATTCTTGGAATGACAATGATAAAAAACAATTTTTAAGAAAATGTATGTTTATATGGGAGAAACATTTTTAAAGATGGTGGTGGTGACGGTTTGATGGTGTGTCAGTACCTGTCTTGTTATAAAATATAACGTACTTACCCGAGTCGCATAAAATAAGAAGTCCTATAAGAATGTGGATTTAGCGTCTGCGATAAAAATATTTTTTGCTAGTTTCAGTCTACTAATAGGTTAATAGAAAATAAAACGATATTTAAAAAATATTTCCTAATAGCAGACATATTTTTAATAATGCAAAACACGTTTAACAATGGACTATTTCTCTGCTATAAATTGACCCAATGACATCGAGAACATGTGATGCGTGTAATATCAATCTGGATATGGTCAACTATGTAGGATCGTTATCATACAACATTTATAAGGAAGACCCGTGCGCAGTTTCTGTAATCAACTATTCACACGCATATACATGCACGAACGTATAGGTTTATTGGTACTCGCGTTGATTGAGAATTTCTTGTGGTTGGTAGCGTACATGCCAAGTGTGAATAATGGCATAGTACTCTAGGGTTGTACATAGTGGCCTTGTATTATCGATTTGTACGAAAGACATATCAATAAATTTGTTCAACTCTATTAATACTTTAAACTTTCATGAATTAAAAACAATATCATGATATTAATTTGGTTTCAGGGTTGCAGGATTCTTAATTGAATAAACTAAAGAACGCAAAACCAAACTGAACCGTTCAGAAACATATTCTATATTACTCTCATTACGAGAAAATAGATAGGAGCAGAAAAATATCGATGAGTTTCTTGATTTAATGCCATCACTACAGCTGGAAGCGATCTCGATTTCGGTAAGTGTATTATCCAGCTATGTTGTGTTTGTCTCATTTTTGTTCGACTGATGTTTTTTTAGAAAAAAACTCTCTGATTAGTGTAAATGTAAATTTTGTTATCAGGGGTTCAAGATGAATTTCAAAAATCATTCCACTGATTCAATCTTGTTGTAAACTCGCATTAGATTGATTCCTAAAATTCCAGATGTTTTTTAAAACTCCTGACTTAATTGATCCTCAAAATATCGTGGAAGTTTTATTACAAGTAAATTTTTATACTTCTCAAAAACCAATACTATTATACATCCAAAAATGTTCAAGAAATGGTAACCACATCGATTCATTCCTATGAACTTTTTTATTTTAGAAGATATCATTATTCTGTCACTATGTAATTTCATGAATAGTGAGAAAAAACACTGCAAATTTATGAACAAGCTTGCTAATTAAACTTTCTAATAATTAGTAAATATCTCCCTAAAAACAAATGTCATACAATTTTTATCAAGTATAACTCCTTGTAAATTTATTCAGAATCTCCCAAAGACTTCTTATCATGAAAATTACCAGGGAGTGAGTAACATTAGATATGAGATTCCGCAATAGATGAGGAAGATTCAAAATTATATCACATTTTTAAGGTCATTTTGAATACCATCTAGTAACATAATACATTTAAATTTAAATATAACCATGGATGACTTGTAGAACTGACGATTATCTTAATTATCAATTTACAGCAAAAAAATTTCAACTACCAGTATGAAAGTTAATCATATTAAGATGTTATTTACGTTACCAATTATAGACTTGAACAATTTCTGCTTGCGCGAAACTTTATAAGCATAACTTAGCAAATTTACAATTCTAAAATCGAAAAATTTCCACTGAAAAAGGAAAACTAACTCGTTTCAGCTAGATTATCCTGGACAAAAAGCATCAGAATATAAGAAAGTGCGTTGTTCAAAGGTACCTGTAGTCTAGAAAACTCAGCGTGGCGAAAATAAGAATCCATCCAACTTCGTGTACCGCATCTCATTCGCTACATTAAGCATACGAAATTTAATTAAAACTTCACTTTTCTCTTTCTTCTCTTTTCTCTGTTTCAAACTAAACTCTTTAACTGTTTTGTGCATAAACACACACACACACACATACGTGCTAGTGTGTATTTTATAGATATTTCTCGCAGCTAGAATTTACGAGAAAATTATTCCTTAATGCGTTATTTAAATATATTTGTTGAGGCATGCTAAAAGGACGTTAAAGGAAATTAAAAACAATAAGTGAGCCAGTGGTACAATTATTTTTATTCCGATTGTTATCATCATTGTGAAGTTTGAGAGAATAAATTATAAAAGAAGAAAAAGTTTCCGTTGAGAAAGATGTAGGAGGAAAGTTAAGGTACTCTGCGTGCAGAGCAAATTCGTAGACACTTGGCTCGAAGAACGCACGGCTTTAAGATGGAGTTAGAGAGCTCTGTCAGTTTTTATAATGCTCCGGGAAAAAATTTGTCACGTGACGACTTTATATCGGAAAAATTTACTCCGAAATTTTCCGTAAAAGAACAAAAAAGAATTTGGAAGATTTCATATCGATCGGATTGATTCGATATATCACGAGAAAATTCAACGGGTTCGAGCATTAGTTGAAAAAATTTCATTTGCAAATGTCATCAACTTTTAGTATTGTAAGCTAATTGTAGTATTTATTAGCCATGTCAAAGTTATCAAAATTGATAAAGCGATAATTCAAAGCGGCTACTCTGTTCTAAGAGATAAAAACTTGTGAAAATGTCGCTATCTATCCTAGAAAGTAGATTTAATAGTGAGTAGCCTTGTGCGTGTGTCGAGCGTTGCAATAAAGTCAAGTAATACACAAGTTAAAGCTTCATCGTTTAGGCCTGAGCTGAGAATATTTTACGATATCGCAGAGTGAGCGGGCCCAAGGCCTTTAATGAGCTATCTAGCCGTAAATTTTACAGCCTGTGCAAGTTCAAGACTCGCTCCCGATGTACTGCGTACGTAATACATTTTCCCTATAAAGCCACATATATACAGCAATAGCAGCAAGCGCATACAGAGGATATAATGAACGATTACTGTATATAAATATGTATATAAAAGCAGCTGGGGCAGCAGCTAGCAGCCCGAGTAGCAAGTTATCGGAAGAATATCGAGGATATAGCGAGTAATTTGCGATGTAGAGTAATAAAGTTTAATCAAGAGCAGCGCGTGCTGCACGATAAAAATGAAAAAATATCTGTACGCGCTGAGCAAGCGCAAAGAAAGCTGCTGCCGGCATAACTAAGTCAGTTTTAACACCGCTGAGGCCTCTCGCGCGCGCCTGCCCGCCCGCCGCGCTCGCTGCGCATACATATACCATACTGTTTGAGCCTACCACGAGCTCTAATGCGAATGTATTGTCAAGTTGACGGGAATTAACTTCTCAAACTTTCTCAACAGGCGTTATGCTGCTTGCTGCGCGCGAATATTAATTAAAAGCATAATCAAGACCGAGGATGGAAAATTAATTGTCTTTGCCCCCGCGGCCGCTGCCACTGCTATAACGCTGAATTGGTCGCACAAGAAATGAAAAGTGGAAAAGCCGTAGAAAAATCTGGCTGCATGTATACTTTCAATTAAGGGAATTAGGGTATCAGCGAAAGTTTGTCTTCGCATTTTCTGAAATATTAGCTCAATAAGCGGGGGTACTTAGCTTATACCAAGAGGCAAACTCATCTAGGATGATTGCCGCAATTTAATTGATATAATATTCCAATAAAAATTGGAATCATCTAGATTATTGCAGATGTTGAAAATGTCATTTTATCTTGCAACGAAAGAGAGTTAGAGAAAAAGATCAAAGACAAAAACAGTTTCTCATGGTTAACTTTTCAGACTCTGCTGCATTGCGTATACCTTTCCTGTCTTTTACTTCTATACAAGAGATTATCGCAAGCTCAACGCTTCGATGAGTAGAGATATCGTTGACCTTAATTTTCTTACTAGCTTTTCGACTTTATTGGTAAAAGGGAGTAAGACTTTCAAACCCTAGGACGTGATGAACTGTGTTCTTGAAATTGTAGCTATTCATTAAATAGTCAACTTTTAAACATTTAGAAAGAAAAAAGTAGTTTTAGTTTATTAATTTATGAAAACATTATCTTGATACTAAATTCCTTGATTTCTTGCAATCTACTCGCGTTTGGGTATATATATACATCAAAATCAATCAGATATGTAAAATATTCTAGAAGAAATTATTAGGGGAAGATATTAAAAAACGAGTTAACATTTTTTCATTGATGATAAATTTTATTTCACCATATTTTTTGAAAAATTTTTACACTTGCAGCGTCGTGAAAATTTTTTTTATACTTTTCCGCGCATAGTATGATGTATAAAGCTCTCACGAAATAAAGGCCTGTTCTATACGACAGAAATATTCATTTGGGAAAACACTTTTCATAGTAATAGTTCCGATTGTAATCTTCAATGTCGCATTTAAATATATATTTGTTTCACTTCTTCATTCATGTATATATTTATTTTAACAATTAAATTACTCTTTTGAGTATTAATACTATACTTCACACGGAGTGCTATGAAAAATTCGTTTATTTTTTGGCCCGCTCGTAGAATTTGCATAACAGCATCAATAAAAAAGTGTAACCTCGATTTTCGCTTATTTTCTCATACTCGCTTAGGCGCGCTCGCACAATATCTGCTATATAATGTCAAAACAAGAAAATCCTTACTGCGGCGTCATCACGGCGGTAGCTATATGCGCGTGAATACAAAAAAATTCTTAAAATTTCTGACCCCAATGCAGTTTTAGTGTGTCCAAAAAACTAAAAAAGATGATAATAACCCAGCGTCACACGATGAAAAAGGTTCACAGTATATATATAGGTACAGCTTCTATGCTCACTCACTCATAACTTTTTTTAATATGCTCAAACTCACGAAGATTGGCGCACAAGTGCTCATGAATTTCGCACTTTTCTCCTCTGTACGTAGTTTTTTCGCCCTTCAGATCTATCGAATTATCCAGCTCACTTAAAATATTTTTTTAATATTCTTTTGTGTCATTTTTACATTTGAATATTTTTTCAAAGCTCGGTTATTATTATATACAATCTGGTGGTACGTGAGTATGCACGTGGGCAAATTTTTTTTCAAAACTTCACCTGCCACGTTGAGATTCGATGTATTGGTATGCATTGCTGTATATAATAGTTTTCTCTTTTTCTCTTCTCTTCTCTTCCGGGTTTGCAGAACGAGGCAGCCAAAGCTTTTATCGAAATTAAAGCTTACATTTTTTCCATACGCACGTGTACGAATGGATATACATATTCTTTTTGCATATATAAAAGTCATAAATTTTCAAAGTTACGTCGTCATATTGGTTTATAATTATAATAATAAGCAAACAAAGCCCTTCGAGTGGTTGAAGCTTGTGAATGTAGTCGTAAAATACAGTTAAATTAGTTTAATTTTGATACAGAAGTTCATTATAACTTCGAAACGACTCTAGCCACTGTACAACTGAGTTTGACGAACCTATTTTGTGCTTAGAAAAATTTAGGTTCATTTCAATAATTTCAAAAATTACATCATTCATACATTTAGCTTTCGAATCAAGTCTACCGACACATGGAAACTTTTTTGATATCATTTTTCTTATCTATAGAATTTGAAAGTAAATATTAAATATAAGTATTCAGTTCAGTACGTAAGCAAAAATGCGAGCAATTGAAAAATTCATCTAACTCACCTTCCACACATTAACGTCATGAGCGTTCAGTGTTACTAAATAATCTACACTCTTCACCGATTTGATCTTAACCCGTTGCACTTGACTTGCGGAAATTTTCAACGTCTCGACGTTTTACGGCATACAAGCTCGGGAAAAAGCTCTTACTTCAGCTCATATATTTTTCTCTGAAACGTCGAACAACGATAGTGAAAACTATTTTCATCCTTGACGCATGTACACATGCAAGCTTAAAAAAA